GGCGCAAGATTCGAAGAGAATGGCTGGCAGTGGAGCTTGGCCTCGACGATCCCCTGCGAAGGTAGAGAGACGCGACTTGGTACTTTCTCGAGCTGTCCCAGGTGCACAGCTGCCTGCCAGATTTGGCCCAAGATGAGTGCATCTTCACCTGGTCAACCAAGTCACTGCTCACCATTCAGGCACCACATTGTCGCGTGTGCTGCCTACTTTACACGTCCTCGACACGCTCAGGTACCGACGCGTAAATTGATTTCATGAATGTCAATTGGAGAAGCTTCCTGCAAGGTACCTGCGACCTCTTACATGATTCTAGATTCCACTCCAATCGGTCGATAACGCTGCCTTGCCATACTTGCCGTGTCATGCCATGGCATCTGAGAGTTGCAGGTGAATCATCTACAACCTTTCAGTGCCTCGTCTGTTCTTGCAGATGCTGCCTGCCTAATCTTCTGGAGTCGCCCATTGGAAGCACTTTTATATATCTGGCTTGAATGGTGGGTGAACGACAAAAAGAAATGTCTGGCTTCACAAAGGGACACGAATGAGACGTCGAGCTTGTCGCATGTGTTCCTGGGCCACAGTGAAGGATTGCTTATCGATAGCCTGGGAACCACCTGAGGGTAGGCTCCTTCCTGCCACGCAAGGGAATCCAGTCCACCCCGCAAAGGGTCCTCAGCAGTAAACAGGTACACCTCTACCAGGGTAAAATGGGTGCCTCACAAAGTCTCTCAATAACACCAAGAAGCCCCCCGCAGCCACATCTAGAAACGACACGAGCCACCTGGTGACCCTCCTCCTATCGTTAGACCCCTGCCAACACATGCATTGCCTGCTCTGAATTTATTCTTGGGACCTCACAAGGTTAGGTGAACACTTTCTAAGGGGTACCCCCTTCTAAAACTCACGAAGCGGTGACGTTGCAAATAGCGTCTTCAATTCCGCACCTCAGCTACCCGACCTGACTTTGTACCGGGTATCTCGACCACTATCTAAGCCTTCTTTCCCTTCCCTTTCTCACCACCACAACCTGAGATACCCTTCCCACTCGAACCATGTCGCTGCAAGTCCCCTACCGTGGAAAGGCACCCAGAGAGGGTGCCACCAAGGCCGTCATTCTGGTAAGACCATCTGCTTTACGGTGTTTTGCGCGTCGCTTTATTGTGCGGCGCGTGCATCCCCAAAATCTCAAAACCCCGCCTTGCTACTCCCCCCTCCCTCACAAAGCTCGTCAAAGCTCATTGTCCTCTGCAAACGGTCGCAAGCTAACCAGAACCTTCAAATCTTCAGGTCGGAGGCCCCTCCAGAGGAACTCGATTCCGTCCTCTTTCCCTCGACGTTCCCAAGCCCCTCTTCGAAGTCGCTGGTCACCCCATCATCTGGCACAACTTGGCTGCCATTGAGCGAGTCCCCGGCAAGGAGATCACCGAGGTCCTCATCATCGGCTACTACGACGAGTCCGTCTTCCGCGACTTCATCAAGGACGCCTCCCACGAGTTCCCCAACCTCTCCATCAAGTACCTCCGCGAGTATGAGGCTCTCGGCACTGCAGGCGGTCTCTACCACTTCCGCGATGCAATCCTCAAGGGTCACCCCGAGCGCCTCTTCGTCCTGAACGCCGACGTCTGCTGCTCCTTCCCTCTCCCCGAGATGCTCCAGCTCTTCCACGACAAGAACGCCGAGGCCGTCATTCTGGGTACGCGCGTCTCTAACGAAGCCGCCACCAACTTCGGATGCATCGTCAGCGATGCCCACACCCGCCGTGTGCTCCACTACGTCGAGAAGCCCGAGTCGCAAATCAGCAACCTGATCAACTGTGGTGTCTACCTCTTCTCTACCGACGCCATCTTCCCCTCCATCAAGACCGCCATCAAGCGCCGTACCGATCGTCCCTCGCGCCTCGTCTCCTACCCGAGCTCCGAGAACCTCGAGAACAGCTTCATTATCACCGATGATGACGAGGAGCGCAAGAACGAGGTCATCCGCCTCGAGCAGGATATCCTCGGTGACCTCGCCGACACCAAGCACTTCTTCGTGTATGAGACCAAGGACTTCTGGCGCCAGATCAAGACGGCTGGCTCAGCCGTCCCTGCCAACGCCCTCTACCTGCAGAAGGCCTGGCAGAACGGCTCCAAGGAGCTCGCCCAGCCCAGCGCTAACATCATCCCTCCCGTCTTCATCCACCCGACTGCTACCGTTGACCCCACCGCCAAGCTGGGCCCCAACGTCTCCATTGGACCCCGCGTCCACGTCGGCCCTGGTGCCCGCATCAAGGAGTCCGTCGTCCTCGAGGACTCTGAGATCAAGCACGACTCGTGCGTCCTGTACTCGATCATCGGCTGGGGCAGCCGTGTCGGTGCCTGGGCCCGAGTCGAGGGTACCCCCACCCCTGTCGGCAGCCACACGACGAGCATCATCAAGAACGGCGTCAAGGTCCAGAGCATTACCATTCTCGGCAAGGACTGCGGTGTCGGTGATGAGGTCCGGGTTCAGAACTGCGTGTGCCTGCCCTTCAAGGAGTTGAAGAGAGTGAGTCTACCCCAACTACCATCAGTGTTTTCATATTGCTCACAATCTTATAGGATGTTTCAAACGAGGTCATTATGTAAATCGACAGGTTTGGGATAACGTTGGATGTGGTGGGGGATAACGGACGACGTAATGAAGAAAGGATTTGCATTGGGGTCAGATAGAGCTCCATCACTCTTCATAGATGCATGCGTCTTTGGTCACAAAAAGCACAAGTCGAATTCAGCAATTCAGAGCATTTCAATCTGCCATTTCATCTACTTTACATGTGTGATGAGTCTCGAGGACGTAGGTAGCAACACACTAGTGAATAAGGTAAACCTGTCGGACCACTAAATGAGTGATTCACTCAACCGGGTTCCTACGATGCCTCAAGACAGTGTCAACCGGGATGCCTCAGGTAGAGCTTCCGCAATCACCGCCCACGACCCTAATGAGGAGTGAATCGTGCTCAGCTCTCAACAAATACCGGACCACTTGGTCGAGGGGTAGGGCTGTAGAGGCCCCGGTTACATGGTGAAGACTCCCATCTATTTCGGGGTCCAAGTTCGAGCCTCGATCGGTCCATTCTTTTTCTCTTTTTTCTTAATTTTTTCATCTGATATCCCGTCCCCGTGGCCCTGATATTCACAGTCACGTCCTGATTCATTAACAACAAGCACCGGGCCACTTGGTCGAGGGGTTGGGCTGTAGAGGCCCCGGTTACATGGTGAAGACTCCCATCTATTTCGGGGTCCAAGTTCGATTCCTTGATCGGTCCATTCTTTTTCTCTTTTTTCTTGATTTTTTCATCCGATATCCCGTCCCCGTGGCCCTAATATTCACAGTCACGCCCTGGTTCATCAACAACAAGCACCGGGCCACTTGGTCGAGGGGTAGGGCTGTAGAGGCCCCGGTTACATGGTGAAGACTCCCATCTATTTCGGGGTCCAAGTTCGATTCCTCGATCGGTCCATTCTTTTTTCACTATTTCTCTGATTCTTTTTGAGGGGTTAGCTACATGTGGTCTGCCCGTGGCAACCATTTCAACCTCACTAGCGATATGAACCAGCGGTATCTGTGAGGGGACATCGCTATTAACCTATGGCTACCTCGTTCAAAACTGCCAGGATATGGATCTTATGTAGCAATCCCGAGCATGCTGTCAAGCTTCATTCTCAGACTCGACTCCATTTCAAATGGGCCCAAGCCTGTTTCACCGTCACTGTACCGTGAAACGTTCAATCACAGCTTTCTGGACGGAAACTTCTGGGATTTTGGCTGGTTCTTTCGAGGATTGGACGTCTTTTCGACAAGGGTTCCGCCCCTCTCTCCCCCGGTTCCAAGATCCGATTTCATCCATCACCAGACCTTCCCAAATCTCGCTCCTACCGCCTTCATACATGTGCTGTGTTCTTTGCCTGATAAACGGCAGCTCAGACAATCATCGCTAGGAAACGCCAGATACTCCGACAGACTTACAATCCAAGGTACCGGTAGACCTCACTTCAGCTCCCTTTACTTGGCTTACACATGACTGGACTTCTTCCCTGATTCGAGGCCCCCGTTTCTTCAGAATCTTTTGGCGGAAGGGGCGTTTTATCATGACAAGCTCATTCTGCCAGATGACGATGATTCAATCATATCTAACCATGCGGCGGCTAATGAAAACTTGTCACTCGGAAGATGCCACATTGACTAAGACAACGTTCTCCGCGTGACTTCCCCAGATCAGCGGGGTGCCTATTATAGAGACCCCGCGTTTACGTAGGCGTACAGCTTCCGCATGCCCGACAGGGTCTAACCTTTCGACGATGAGATAGATTCCTCCGGCCACAAAGATGTTACTGCTTTGGTCGGCGGATTTTTCCATCTCTTGGGTGACGATGGAGGCTCTGCATCTGGGAAGACCCCAACTTGCTGTCTACCTGAGCGAAGAACGCCACTAGCCAAGTAAACTACCTTGGTGACGACACTGGCACTGTGCATGGGCGTATCGATCACGATCCCCCGCTGGAGTACGAATGTAATATGCTCAGTAGTTTTACCACGTGCGGGCACTTTTGAGAGTGAAAATAAACTGAGCAGTGGAAATCAGGAGAAACACATTTCGAGGACTTTTCTCGTGGTATCTAGAATGACTAACAGGTGACGTTTCACAACCTACTATCCGTCCCCAATCATCTGTCATCCGTTGTCCACTGTCCACTCTCCTTATTCATTCTCTGCTATCATCTGAAAGGCGCTCCTATCCCATCGTGCATTACCCTGCTGTGCTCATCCCACTTTGGCGATAGGAGTGATCAGTCGCTGCCAACTCCCCTGGCCTAGAATGTTGAGCCAGCAGGAGACACACTTGTCAATGGTCCTCATGGCCACGAGGCCGAGGAGGTCGAATTTGAGCCGAAAGACTGTCAGATAACACAAGTGTTAGGGTCAAGATATCGAATGAAAGGGATGAATGATGAATCAAGGGATCGAACCGACTTCGTACCTCACATCTGCACCTCCTCGAAGCCCCACTGAGCCCACTGCTCATCGTCAACGGCCAACGGGTCTAGGCCCTGACCGACATCGGCAAGAACGAGCAGACGAATCCACTCACTCGCCAACTGAACACTGTCAGCTCCGTTGGCAGGCGCTTCCAACTTGCCGCCATACCATCCACGGATCAGGCGTCCTCCGGCTCTCTGGATGGCCGCCTCTGTATTGTCGTGAATAGACTGACGGAAGCTAAAGAGGCTGGAGAGGCTCGCCTTGATCTGAGGGTTGTTCATGATGTGGGGGTAGCGGGCGATAGGGTCGAAAATGATGAGTTCGATTCCGTCGCCATACTGACGAAGCACAATGGCGAAGCCGAGGCGAGGGCAGAGTGCCGACTAGACACTCTGCTGGCTCTGGGCGCCAGGTACATCGTCGACGGAAGGGATGGCACCCCAGGTACGACCAAACCAGGGAGTCGCAAGAGCGATGTAGGTGTTCTTTCCAGCCCGGAAAGCATTGATGGCTTGAATCATAGAGTTCTCAACCGTGAAACAGTTGCTAGACTGGCCCCCAGAGGGATTGTACCATTGACGGCGCTCCATATTGTCCTTGAAGTGTCCGATGGGGACAAGAGCGAGAGTCCACTTGCTGTTGGGCTCGTTCTTCGCAAGAGCAAGCGAGCAGAGGAAGGCGCGGGTCTCAAGGGGCATGGTGGTCTTGTCGGGAAGCGGGGGAGATGCGCCGGGATTCTGAGGGGTCTTGCCGAAGAGGACAGCTCGAAGGTCTGGCTTGGCGAGGAGCGCGATCTCGTGAGGGCTGAAGTGGGAGGGAGGCCAAGCGGGCATGTTTTGTCCCGGTTCGGCGATGTCGGTGCCCTGGAGCTGGGCGGTCAGAGCACTCATATCGTTGGGACGGGCGGTAAGAGAGAGTGTCTGCAGGGGCGGAAGAGCCGCGAAGGCGTCCTTGATCGCAATCCAGGCATCGACTGCGGCGGCGAGATCAGTGACATTGTTCTCGCTGTTGGTCTGAGCCTGTCGATTGCGACGGGCGCGAACGTAGACTTCGTCGAGGGCTTTGAGAGCGTCGCCGGTAAGCTCGCCTCTGGTGTTGAGTTCAGTGGCCACGGTTGCGTAGAACGCGGGATGGCCGCGAAGGGTACCGAAGAGGTCAGCGCGATCGACAAGAGTATTGAACACGCGAACGAGACAGGCTCCGGCCTCTCTGTTCAGGGTGGCCATATCGTTCTCGTCCCAAGGCAGCTCGGTTCCGAAAATTGCTGTCAACACGAGGTGGGCGGTCGAATCATGAGAGAGGATCCGTCCGCGAGGGAATTTGAAGCCCCATTGCATGAGGATCTTCTTCGGACCGCTTTTGCCGCTTTTTTACCATGGTTGCGCGTGCGTATGATTGGTGCTTGGCTTTTGGTGAATTGATGCTATCGTGAAGTTCTTGGGTCAACGAGGGCAAAGGGATGGTGTAATAGGAAAGAAGCCGAAAGGATGGTGGAGCAAAAAAAGTATTCAAAGCTTGGGTGGAGGATATTTTATGCAAAAGTGAAGTGTACCTGCCGTACTTATTTATGGAAGGAAGGAAAGAGGAGGCTAGAGGGGCAAACATGCGTGCCTTCCACCCGAGCAGATTTGAGACGTTCACGTCTATATTGGCCCAACCGATATCTTTTCTCAGGTGTCATTCTATTTGGTATGGGGAAAGAAGCTTGTAATGGGAGTTACATCGTCTTATTCAAAATAATATGACAAGATGATAATATCAAAAACTACGTTTTATCAATTCACTAGCCCACTTACTTCCATTGCTCTTCATGATCTGTTCATCACTACGGGTGGGAAACCCGAATAATAACCAGATCGAAAAAAGAGAAAAAGAATGGACCGATCGAGGGTTGAACTTGGACCCCGAAATAGATGGGAGTCTTCACCATGTAACCGGGGCCTCTACAGCCCTACCCCTCGACCAAGTGGTCCGGTGTTTGTTGTTGGAGAGACATCAAAAATCATCACATATAGACCTCGCTACCTGTCACTTCGTCGCTTCAAGCATCCTGTACTGACTGGCCGCCTTCAATCCCATCCAACCAGCTTTCCTGGCATACTATCGTCATTAAGCGTACCATGTTGCCAAATCACGGTTACCAGGAGCTTATAGCAATGATGCCTTCATTTAATTATCCATCCATTCATCGCAAAACATTCCAAAAGCCCATCGAGCTGATTCTCGAGTCCTATGTATGCTAATTGTTCTTTAACACACTTGTTGGTTGCTGCTGCGCGCACCAGTGATCAAATTTAGCACCTAGGGGAACGACATGTGTCCCATTGCGTTTAGAACAGCATAAGTCATTTATGGCATTCAGAAGTTGCCATGAACTCGAAGCAGGACATTCCATGAAACCAGCAAGATGGCTGTCATGAGCATGTCACCCACTCTGATCCGCCTGCCTTTATAGCAACACCTCTCATGAACTTACAACCTTAGCAGAACAATACATCAATCCTGGAAGCTTTTGATGATATAACGATATTTTCATTTATACGTGACATGTGGTGTCTTTGTCTGCGAGTCCTTAACCATCGTCGCACTGATGTTGATTGTAAGGAATTTAAGCCAGCCAATGCTAGTTGTTTACTCGTACCTTGATCTGTTTACTAGGCAACGAGTCCAACATCATATTTCACTGTATACCTGCACTTCTTACTGTACGCCTGCGAACCAACATATAAATCTTGAATGATTTCCCCGTAGATCGTCCGAGTATGCCAGCAGGGAAACAACCAGTCGAGGACTGAGGTTGACAAAGTTGAAGTGAAGTCGGAGGTTGCCAAGCCAAGCCATCCACTCTGGTGGGCCAAGGCCGCCGATTGGGAGCCGCAGTGCCGCAGTGGGCCTCTCAGCTAGGTATCCGCCCCCGGCATTTCACCGGGGAATTCTTTTCCTCCACAGAGGAGAGGGGGAAGGTGCATTGCTGGACGCTCCCGTCATGCCTTTCCTCCCAACCCTCGAGGCGGGAACCATTCAAGGAAAGAGTAATCGGACTGAGAAGTCAAATTCAGCCGCGTGCATGCACACATTAGTCCCAATTCACTCGTGACTGCAGACAAACTTGATTCTTCCAACAATCCGATGTCCATCAGCTCAGCAAACGTCAGTCAGCTCAACAGTTTACACTAGGGATCCTGGCAACGGAGTGGATGGCGGTAGAAAAAACCGCATCATCTGCTATGCGAACGAGGGGCAGCCCAGCAACACCTAGCGGTGGCACTCACCAGCCCGGTCGAGAGACGGCTTTCGACGTCTGTCGCTGTCCGTCGACTTGCTAAGGCAGGCTTGAAGCCACCCGACAGCACAAAGAAACTCAAAGTCCGCATCGGACGTCGACATCAATGTTCGCAGCCAAGCCAGTCCTACACGCGGAGACGCACATCTAGCCTGGCGCGGCTAGTAGCAAGCAAGCGAAACCACGACTGTCGTCGCACGTAACTTACTCAGTTCATCCCTGCACTCCGGCATCAAGTGATGCTATCATCTCCCCGGCACAATCTACCTGGTGCTTCTGCGATACACAAGGCGGCCAGCCAAGGCAACGCAAGCCATGATTCGGTACCGTGAGCCACCGACGGACGGCGGCAACAGCTGCCATGCTGCTGCCAGATTTGAAATATTGCCGTACCAATATCGACGGGCGAGGGATACGGGTGCCAGCATGCTTCAGCTGAGTCGGCATCCCTCTTAACATTGTGTTCATAGAAAAGGACATTGACCTGAATCATTGCAATCGAACAGTGGCAATGGTTTTGTACATCCTCATTCTATCGTCAAATCTCTTCACAGTCCCGGCACTCTCCCTTGCTTCAGAGTTTTCCGTTTCGATGTCTCTCGAGCCAGGGCAAACAACAATCGCGCCCACAGCACAATTCCGAGTAGGCCCAGAGGCTTCGCAAGCTTTTCCCCTGTCCCCTGCATGCCCAACCCTAAGACTGTGTGGCCTTGCCTCTAGCGGGCAGCTCCCGCCCGTCGCCCCAACCGCGAGCTCCGACAGCTACCGAAAGCTTTGAGGCTAGAGCACATGCTACCTAGACCCAAACCGAGTAGCGCTGAAGTCCGTCATTCCGGAGACGGTTTCCGGCCTTGGAGCGTCGAAGGGCACCGTTGGAGGGAGGGGTAAGGAGGAATGTTGCTGGCCTGAAAATCCCGGACCGAACAAAGAACTCGCGCCGGCTTCGAGTCGGTATCTCTCAGGCTCTCCTCTCTCCTCCACTCACCAGAACACACCACCACCAACTGAATGGCCTCTGGTGCTATTCTCACCCACTTGTTGGCCTAGATTCGGCCGCACGGCCTAAAGCCAGGCCAGTCAACAGGTGTCACTGACTTCGGGGTGGGCGGATCGACGCAGGCTCTGACACTGGCGAGCGGTGCTAATGCAGGGCGCCTAGCCTTGGCGTGCGTAGCGAGCTGCTTGACGGGTACAGCGCATGCGACAGGGCCCGTCGTCCCCTGTAGAGCGGCGCTTGACTGCGGGTGCCGTGGGTCTTCAAGACGCCACAAGGGAAAAGATGGGTGGGATAGTCGCTGGGGGGCTTCCTTTTTCGGTCGTTTTCAACCATCGGAGGATGGACGGAAAGGCCAGGTGCTAGGAAAAACCTCAAACCCCCTCGAGCCGACATCCAAGGTCTCCGGTCCACCCACTCCGACCCGGTCACGACGCGGTGATAGGACGGCTGCAGGGCTTAACAGATGATGATATTCGCCGATGTTCGTGCCATGATATCATGGCGACCGGGTTGGCTGAAACGCAACAACGGGGGATTGACCAAATGACATTGGATTCCCCAGAGTCGAACTCAGGATTCCTGTTTTCGGCAAATTTATGCCGCCGGAGAAGAAGGTCGGATGAGGTCGCACGCTGTCGAGATGAAGGGATCTGGATCAGGGCTGTGGCTGGTATGGATGAGAGACAGAGTACTACGGCGCACCAATCTCAACTTGGAGTCATGGAGATGGATGACCACGGCCACTTGGTCTCCTTCATCCGTCCGAAGTACGCAGAACACATGCACACTTGTACGGAGAGGATTCGCATATCCGTACACAGCTCAAAGATACGCTCTGGCAGGTTGGGATTGGGCTGGCAGCACCACATGTTTACCCAGACAACGAACATCCTGGGAGATCCTTCCCCCTCTTGACGACACCAACTTCTTTCTTGGTGTTCTGCACCAGACAAGCGCCAAAAAGAAACGGAGAAAAAAGTGTACCAGAATGACACTGTTCTGGACTCTTGTCCGTCGACTAACAACGAGGAGGCTCCAGTCCAAGGCAAGGGATCAAGACATCTTTGCATCTGTCGAACTGTTCGCAGCCAATCCGTGCCTGAGGAACTCATGGCCCCCTTTTCTTCTCCCAGGCCAGGGACGCATTCCCATCCCCGAAGTCACCAATCATGTCTGATTCTCCATGCTCAAGTTCTCAACGGGGAGAAATCACCTTGTCTCGCGAGCTCACTGGATCTTTGGATGCCGCACCACATATCCACGTCTTCCACCAATCCCGACTCCCGCGTCAACATGACCTCCGCCTCACCAACCCCCTCTCGGTAATCGATCGGGGCACACCCCGGCTCACCCCCTCTTCCGACGACCCCTCACCGCAGGTCAAGGTCCACATCCAGCACCACGGCACGGCAAGTCAAGACAGCCTAAAGAACAGGCCAAGGCCAGGAACACAGTGCAGTGCCGACCTCCCCGTCCCGCTGCCGTGTGCCCAGCACCGCTGAAAATCGACCGATGCCATTCTCATATCCACAACCACGCAGAATCGCTGTCTGCTTCTGGAGCCCAAACATCTCACTAAACAAGCCCGACAAGTCCAACATTCCACGCATTTCGCTCCTCACCAGCACTCATTGGTCATTTCGGCCGTGGTACCTGATCAGCAGAAGCCACACCGCATTCGAGACAGGCCCTCCAGCTTCTAGGAAATTTCCCCCAAGCGGTCGGCTGCGCAAGCCTTCTGTCTCAGCACAAGACAGGCCGGTGGTCGCAGTCAATCCAGCAGTCTATCTTCGGTTTCTCAATCATCAATTCTTCTGCTGTTTACGACGTCTTACAGGCCAGGCCCCTTGTTGTTGCCTCGTCGAATCACATATTTGGTTGCTCCGAGTACAGGATAAATTAGTTGCAAAAATAGCAAAACAAGCAGCCCCTCTGTTTTGCGTGCCCGGTTCGTCCGAATCGCTCTGCTTGGGGGAAACTACAGCACTCTCACCATGACTCGACGGAGGGAAAGCTGTGTTCTATCTCTGACATCACCAGGCCCAGCAAAATCATCCACGGGCTTTGCATCGGGACAGTGCAATTGAGCTTGTGGCACTGACCCTGGTCCTGGTTGAGGTGTGCCTCCAGCCCAGCCCTGCTACCAGAGGCGACCTCCCCAACCACCCCTGGGCCACTATGTTCACATCAACAACCATCAGTCATCCACCCACCCATCCACACTCGCAAATCAATATTCAACTGCTGCTATGTAGTGAAAGTGTGGATGAGGTGGCTGTGATGTTGTTGTTGTTGGTCTGATGTACAGAGTAGTAAGCCTGGAATGTACATGCAGATTTGCTTTGTTCCAAGTGCTGTTTGCAAGTAGCCGCATGCCTCTCTGCATATCAGATCACAACTAATACCAACCTTCACAAACACACATGGCTACTTACACCACGTATACACACGCTACTGCAAGTTCCTTAGCTCAAGGTATTTGCTCCATCAAATCCACATTCTGGATGTCAAAGACGCGCAATACCCACGGCTGAAGCTTATCTTCCTCCCCTACCAGCCTACCCACCAGGCCTTACCCACAAGTCTACCCTCCCTTTCTTTGTATATGAACCACAAGACCCCAACCCTCCCTCCTCCTCGGTCTCCCTCTCTTCAGCTCAACTTCGCCATCCCTGCCCATACTCTCGCTCATAGGGTTGCCCTCCACCAAGGAAGCCTGCCACGTTTATTTCACTGAACCTATTCCAACACCTTATTTCTTTCCACCGACCCTTCGACACTCACTCATACGCATCGCGCGTGGCAACGGCAAAGGAACAACAGACGACCATCACCTCACACAGCATTGTGCCAGAGGTTCCATTCGAAAACAAAGCTCTCTTCCTTCCTCGGTTCTCTTCCGATCTCACGCTTCCCGTGCTTCCACGAGGCACTAACACAGGCAGTACCCGCCTTTTTTGTGTGATTCTTGAACGAGGGCATTGTTGGACAAAGCGGGTCAGGAGCTTTTGCTGGACTACCCTTCACCACTTCACCTTTGGGCAAAAATAGATCAACTTGGTTGTTGGAAATTCTTCTCACCACCACATCAACATCTCACCTGAGCTACATTGCTTTGCCAACAAACTACCTGCCACAACAACCTTCACCGCCTCCTTAGGAACCACAAGAACTTCGATTCAGGTAAGCTAATCTCTATTGCGACTCCTCCGCTGTCAGCGAGATGGGACTCCGATTCCTTTCATGGAGCGCGTCTGGCGGTTTCGTTGGCTCTATTTTGGCGATCTATGAGCTTGCTACATCGCTCATCCTTCTTCTTCCATCACGGCGGGCGACGTCATGGGCTTGTGGCATCAAACCATGAATATGCCCGCGTCGTTGGCCCGGGTATTTTCATTGTTTGATGTCTGGGTTCAGTCAGAGCTCCCGTCGACTTTGCTGTCCCTCCTGGGCTGTCTGGTGACTCGTGAAGTGGTTTGTACTTCACGATCTCGCTGGTCCTGCACGATCTTGCCTACATTTCCGGAGGATTGGCACACTATATGAAAACTCGGAATCCTCAACTTGAGCGAAAATGAATCAGTCTTGCTAATACATACATCTCTAGCCAACAAGATGCGCTCCTTCGCGATCATCCCCGCCGCTTTGGCTACCTTGGCCGTGGCCATGCCGCAGGCTGCTCTCAAGCCATCAGCGAACCCCCCCGCCGGTTGCTCCACAAGCTACACTGGCAACTTCGGTCTGACCGTTGTCGAGCTCGGAAAGCGAAGCCTCGATGTAAGCCTACCAGCCTCTGGGGAAAAAAAAGAGATTTTATACTGACAAACGCAACAGAAGCGTGGCTCCTGCACTGGAACTGGTTCTTTGGACCTCACCCTCAAGGACGGTGTCCTGACCGATTCCCAGGGCCGCACTGGCTCTATCGTCGCCAACTACCAATTCCAGTTTGACGGTCCCGCTCAAGCTGGCGCCATCTACACCTCTGGCTTCTCCGTCTGCTCCAACGGCTCCCTTGCCCTCGGAGGCTCCACCACCTTCTACAGATGCCTCTCTGGTGACTTCTACAACTTGTACGACCGTCACTGGGCTGAGCAGTGTTCTCCCATTCACCTCTCGGCTCTCCCCTGCGGCGCCGATGCTCCCGTTCCCTCTGGACAGGTTGTTGGTACCACCATGGTCGTGACCACTCTCGTCACGGTTATCGGCGACGGTCAGCCTCAGGTTGTCCCGACCACGATCCCCGTCCCTCTCTGCCAAATCGGCGATGGCCAGGTTCAGGGCCACACCACCCCCTGCGGCGAGCTGCCTCCTGTCACTGTGACGCCCTCTGCTCCCGCCAGCCAGCCTCCCTACACTCCCCCGGGAACCCCTGTTGCCCCTCCTGCAACCACCGCGCCGGTCGTCCCGCCGGTCCCCACCACGAAGGTGCCCGTTCCGGTTCCCTCGGTCCCGTCGACCCCCGTCAACAGCACGGCGGTCGTGACCACCCCTGGCACCACGGCTACCACGCCTGCGACCACGACCACACCGGCGGCTCCCCCCGTTGCTGCTGGCCAGAACCTGGCTCCGGCTTCGTTTGTCGCTCTCGTTGCCACTCTGATGGCAGTCGTCTGCCTTATCTAAGTCGCTTGACTCGGAATGTGTGGGTGGACTTGAATTGGTTCACAAAGGCTTAATTGGCATTTTTGCTTCTCAATACCCTGCCAAGAAATCGGCATTTTAATTCCATGATGATGACCAGGAAACGGACTTTGTACAAGAGCAGAGGATGGATGGGTTTGCATGTTTGCAAATAGGTAGCTAGATAGTTGGAAGGGGCTGTGACAAGTTCCTAACTCCGCCACTAGAGAAATACCAGCACATCTTCAGCTGTAACAGTTTGAAATGACTTCGTGATCAGTGACTGGCGAACATGGCATCCGATGTCGCTGCGCACCGCCGGGAGTGACATTCCACCTGCAGGGATGTGACTGGAGATAAGATAAGAGCTGCACGGACCTCAGCGCAGACATCTGGGCCGAACCTCCAAATTTCTGGCATGCGCATCCTACAGTGACGTCTCGGCCAACCTTCTTTCGCTCTGACAACACACGAACACCCAGCCATCTCTTTCGACCAACATCTCTCTCTACCTTACCTCTACCTGCACACGTACGCACGTACACCTGACACGTACGCAACGCGCACTACAGCCATGTCAGAATATTGGAAATCGACACCAAAGTACTGGTGCAAACACTGTAGCATCTTTGTCCGCGACACGAAGCTCGAGCGACAGAACCACGAGGCGACGGGCAAGCACCAGGGCGCGCTCAAGCGGTTCCTGCGCGACCTCCACCGCGGCCATGAACAAGAAGAGCGTGAAAAGGACAGGGCGAAGCGCGAGGTGGAGAGGTTGAAGGGGATATCGTCCGGCACGCCATCATCGTCATCATCATCCTTTTCAAGACCCGGCGGTTCGAGCAGCAGCGGCGCGCCGCCGTCGGCGGAGGCGCAGCGCAAACAGCAGATGGAACAGCTCGCCGAGATGGGCGTTTCGATACCGACGGAGTTTCGGGGCGATATGGCGATGGCGGGGGAGTGGACTGTCACTGCGACAAAGGTTGTCGACGACGAGGAGGCGGCGAGGGAGAGAGACAAGCCTGTTGAGGCTAAGGCTGTTGGGGTGAGGAAGCGGGAGCAGACGGAGGAGGAGAGGGAGGAGGAGGAGGCTGTGAGGGGGTTGTTTAAGAGGCCTAAGAAGTGGGGGAGCACGAGGACGATGCCGGCTGACGACGAGGATCTTGATGCGTTGTTGAGTGGGAATACGCTGATGAGGGCTGTGAAGAAGGAGGAAGAGAAGAATAAGGCTGAGGTGGATGTCAAGACTGAGGTGAAGCAGGAGGGTGAGGGGGAGGATACGGCGGGAGCTACGTCTGATGCGCCGGCTGTTAAGAGTGAGCCGGTGGAGGACGAGGCTGGGAAGGGCTTGGACGTGCCGGCCTTGGGAGAGGACGGCGTCAAGAAGGAGGATGAGGCTGCGGAATCCACGGAGGCCGCGGCGCCGGCGGTAGTGTTCAAGAAGCGCAAGCCCAAGAACATGCGACAAAAATGAAGATTTTCATCTTTGGTGGGGAATGGATATACAGCAAGTCTGGGGTGCATAGCAAGGCGTTGGGCATTGGGTTCATACACTACATAGATACGGGGTTTTCGAAAGGATGTACAGATCAGCGGCCTCTTAGACGAATGGTCAGGGATAAATACCATGGATGTTTGCATCATGATCAATGGGAGTATTGGTCTGGCCGTCTGGCGTGTTGGTGCACAGTTGCATTGCATTGGTGATGGACGAATCCTTCTGGAGCGGCAATACAGCGTTCTATGTCCCATCGTCCCGTGTCCCATTGTCCCATTACCAAACGTGCCAATTACTGGGCCTGAATCTTCCCCCGGGCGTCTAGGACGGGGGTTAGCGGGGTAACACGTGACTCACTGGGGAAATGGAAGTCACTGCGCGCACCGGCACCGGGCAGAACGGGGACATTTCCTTCTCTTCCATGCGTCCAGTCATTTATTTTCTCGGCACGCGTGGACCTCCAACTCCCGTCACTCATTTCCATTGCCTGGTAACGTGGTTGGGGTCACACTCACTCACGTCCAACCTCTCTCATCCAAGGTGGACACCAAAACCTAAACAGCGCAACATCAACGAACAAACACAATCAGATCAGACGTTCAATCTCACTCTCACCCGCGCACGCAAAACGACCTGGTACACCATGAGGCTTCGCAATGGAAAAGACGATGGTGTCCCCCCCAGCAGCTAGTCCCTCCACCATATCCCCAGCCAGCAGCTCTCACCTCGGCAAACGCCACGACCACAGCGAGGACGCCCAGGAATCGTCTTCCGGCGGTGGCTACAATGGCGGACCGTCATCAACAACCGGCCGCAAATCCTCATCATCCGGCGGCTCCCGCCCCAAAAGAGCCCAAGTCTCCCGCGCCTGCGCCCGCTGCAAAAACCTCCGCCGCGCATGCAACGAATACCGCCCCTGCAAGCGCTGCGTCGACGCCGGCCTAGGCGACCAGTGCCTCGGCCTGCCCGGCCCCGTCTCCCTTGCCTGGGTCTCGGACGGCTCCCAGGCCTTTGGACACATTCCCCGCGAAGCTGTCCAGCGCATGGCGGATCTTCTTCCTGCGCGGGTCATGGATTACTGCGTCGATCGCTTCTTTGCGCGGTTGCACCCTACCATTCCGATCTTGACGCCCGAGTACGTTGCGCAGATGAAGGTCGTTGCCGGGCCGAGTGAGGTCGGGATGGAGGCGCATTGTCTTCTGACGGCTGTGTGCGCGTTGGTGCTGCTTCAGGTGGAGGAGCCGGAGAGTCTGTGGATCCAGGGCCTGATTCCGGAGAAGAATGCGCTGCATGGGCGCATGTTGTTCGAGGAGGCGCTCGCGGCGCATCGGAATTTCGCGAGGAGGTCGAATCCGACGTTTGAGCAGTGCCTGCTCACGTTTTTCCTGTACGCGTGCCACTCTGCGCTCTTTCACCACAGCCAGGCCTTCTTGTTTCTGAGAGAGGCGACGACGCTGTTCTTGCTGCTGCGGATGAACACACCCGAGGCGTCGGCGAGTCCGGCGGCGGCGGTGCTGGCGGACCGCTTGTTCTGGGTTCTGTTGGTGTCGGAGCGGTCGCACGGGATCCGGTACCGGCGGCCCGTGACGCTGCAGATCACGGCCGAGTCGCCTACCCTTGGCGCCGACGACCCGAGCCTTTCGGGGTTTTGGAGTTTGGCGGCGCTGTTCAGTCCCCTGGACACGTCGTTTATCGCGCTGTTGAATATGGAAAAGGTGGCGACGCCGCCGTCCAACGCGGCGTTGACGTATATCGAGACGGCGGTGAATGCGGCGCTGCGGTCGACTTCGGACCTCAAGGACACGCAAAAGGCGAATCTGAGGGTGACGCAGCTGTGGTTGCGGATCATTCTCTGGCAGCTGCGTCTGCGGTTCGGGTACCTTGCTGAAGAGTCTGTTCACTCGCCGAGCATGACGTATCACTACCCTCTCGAGGTGGCCAAGGACCTCGTGCTCTCGACGCGGGATTTACCCGTGGACAGTATCAAGGTGCACGGGGTCGGGTTGACGGAGAAGCTGTTTGACATCGCGAGCGCGGCGGTGGATGTGCTTGCGAGGGTGCCGATTACGAAGCCGTCGAGTCCGAGGGGCGGCCGGATGGGCGGGACGGGCAGTGGGCCGGAGGATGATTTGGAGTATATGCGGCGGCTTATTACGAGGTTGCCGGGGGGCAATTCGATTTACGATGACTTGTTGGAGAAGCATATTCAGCAGGCTGTGCCGAGTATGGCGATTGCGGGGACGTTGGCGCGTCGGCCGACGTGAGTTACGTTTTGATACCATGGATATGCAGCATATAGCACTTGGGAGGAGAAAGGAGTGCGGGTTCAGAGATGGCGGAGTGAGGTTAAGACCTGTTCATTATGCATGAGGTTACGCTAGTAGTGTATCTAGTAGAACAATAACTCCAAATATAGGGGTATCCAACATCCTCAAGGCCCACTCCTCGACACGTCCTTTCCTTGTCTCTTTCTGTCTCCCATCAGTGGCATGACAAATACAAGACTTAATGCTCCTCGGCCAACTTCTTCTCGCTGTTAAGCTCATGCGAGTACGGATCAATCTTCGTCTCGGCAAACTTCCTTGCCGAGACCTTGTGCTCAAACAACAGGTCCAGCTCGGCGTACGTCCTCCCCTTTGGCTCCGGCACGCGGAAATACACCCACACGGACGAGAGCAGACACGTGCCCGCCCAAAACAGCGCCGTGCGCGCGCCCCAGTTCCACGCCGTCGACGAGAGCTGGTAATTCGTCATGACATTCACAAAGATGTTGCTGGCGTTGTAGCCCGCGCGCGCGAGGACGATGGTCTTGTTTTTAAGACGCGTGGAGGAGAGCTCCGAGACGAGGGAGTAGGTTACGGGACCGACGGTGAAGTCGTAGACGAACGTGAAGACGATGAGCATGGCGCCGATGGCCCAGACGGAGGCGTTGCTGTCGGAGAAGGAGAGGCAGCCGACGATCAGCAAAAGGCAGAATTGCGCGCAGAGACCGGAAAAGTGGATTGTGCGGCGGCCGATGCGGGACATGAGGAACCAGGAGCCCGCGGTGCCGACCATGCCGAGGGCGTACTGGCCCATTGATAGGGAGAAGGAGTTTCCGGGGTCCATGCCGGCCTGCGTCAAAAAGTAGGCAAAGTAGCCCATGAGGTTCTGCCCGCCGAGGGTCTGGACGAGCCAGATGCCGACGACGATTTCGGTGCGGCGGAGGTCGACGCCCTTGAAGCAGTCTGCGTAGGTCACGCCCTCCTTTGCGCGCTTCTCGAGCTCGTTTGTGTGTTCTATCATGGCGATCGTCTCGTCCGGGTTGAAGTTTGGTTGGTTGCGGGAGGTGAGGCGGAGGAGGGCGCGTTTGGCGGCTGGTTTGTCGTTGTGGCGGACGTACCACCAGGGGGATCTGCTGTTGTCAGTCATAGCACAGCAGAGAATGGCTTCTTGAGGGGGGGGGGGGGTGGATAAGTATGGAATCTGGGGTTGAAACTTACTCAGGGGCGAAGAAGAGGCCGATGAGGATGGGGATGGGCCAGACCCATTGGACTCCAAAGGGGATTCTGTAGGCCCATTCGTCCTGGTGGTGGTAGGAGCCCTTGTTGACGGCCGCGGAGAAGAATTGTCCGATGACCTGGATTTTGTTAGTCTGCAACGTCTTGTAGTTTGCCTTCTCGTCCTTGTGAAGAGTGACCTACCCAGCACATGTTGATGAAGGTGGTGAGATACGGCCTAAGAACGACGGGAGCGACCTCGGAGGCATATGCTGGCGTGACACTCTGGAAAGCACCCCAAGGGATTCCTGCAAGACGTCAGCAGCGATACTCGAAGCCAGGATGGAAGTCGGGGCATTACCGCAGAGAACCTCCCCAAGCACCAAGATCTGCACATTCGGCGCAAAGAACAGCACAAAGATGAACGCAATCATCAACACCAAGAACCCCATGGTCGTAACCCGATACCCGTACCGATCCGCCGTCCAGCCGGCAATCACAAGCCCGAAAATCTCGCCGGCGCGGGCGCCGTTGCTGAGGCCGGACTGCCAGGCGGCGGAGATGACGTACTTGTTCTGGGCCGCGACAAAGGTGCCGTACTTGCGCTGGAAGACGGCCGAGGAGTAGAGGTTGCTGAGGAGGGCGAGGTCGTAGCCCTCCATGATGAGGGTGGAGGAGAGGAGGACGGACCAGCCGATTGCTTTTGGGTAGGTGCGGATGGCTTCGAGGAGGGACATTTTGTGTTCTGCGGAGGCGGCTTGGGCTGCCTCCGCGGCGAGGTCTTCTGGGTGCGCGGCATTGTGGTTGATGGGGGTTGCGGTGTTGGTGTCGTCTGTGATTGAGGTGTGGTGGTGGATGCCTGTTTCCTTGTCCTCTGGGACGGGGGAGGAGACCTTTGGGTCGGCCATTTTGAAGTTGATAATTGTATGTACGGGGTATCAAGATTTATGATGCTAGAGATATTACGGATGAAAGATTGGATGAGATGTATGAGATGATGATGAGGAGGATTGAGGGAGGCGGGTGAGACTCGGGGATGCGCGAAAGTCGGACGCCTGAAGGAGGGAGGTGAATTAAGTTGAGGAGGGCATTCGGGGCGTCTTATATCCCTCCAAGGGTGGAAGAACCCGAATCAATTTGACAGCTTCGGTTACAACAAGAAGGGTCGCAGTCAAAGTAACATTAGAAAGTGTTTGTAGCGCAACAGTGAACAACGGACGCGGTAGTGAGAAAAAGGTGAGGTGAGAGGTTGGAAAATAAAATAAAAATCAGAGGTAAAAGTTAAGTGACAAGATGCCCTGCGCTTGAACCGTGCGCTCTACCGTAGTAATTAGTTGCGGTTCCCCTTGGGGAATAAGTTCGGGGAGGGGAGGGGAGGGGAGGGGGTCCTGGACAAGATTGGTTTGGCGTGATTACGTTGATTTTCGTGTGTGGTCATTATGGTGAGGTAGGGAAGGATTTTGCAGCATGTTGAAAGTATGTCAGTCTCGGTTGACATGGGGTGGTTTGTTGCTGTGCCAAGCATCTGATTTTGGTGATGAGCCATTCCCTCCCCGGTCCTCAGTAGGGTGGAGGTTAGTCGGTGACTCTGTGGTGGTTAGGGGGAGGGGAAGATGTGTCGAATCACGTTGTTTTTCCCAACTCCATGGGCAATTTGTGGAGAAGCGGAGGATCAGTCTGTCAGTCTACCGGCGGTACGGAGAAGGTATGAGAAATGATTGTGGGGATGACATGGAGCGACAGGATTGGTCTCTTGAATCTCGTTTTGGAGGGTTTCTCAGCTGGACCATCAAGAATTTGGAGACGAGCATGGAGATGAAATCTCAAGCTATGGATTGATGGAGAACCAAAGGCTTCACTAAGCCTTCTACAGGTCTGGTGATGGCGTTCTCGACTCGTGCCAAGGTGTAGCTGGAACCCATTCTGATCATTCTGAAGATGGCGGCACGAGGCGTCAACAGGAGACTCCGCCGGTGAAAGTTGTTGTGTACGGAGAGTCCGTATAGATAGATCAAGGGAAATAAGGAAAAAGTAGGGATGGGAAGGATGGGTTGACGCTATTCGCACCACGGCATCCATCTCACGAGGTCGAAACTAGATTGAGCGCCTCACCATCCCCGAGCCGAGCTCCATGCGCATGTGCGGCGTAGCCACCGTCAGCCAGGCCCGGGGCGTGGTCTTTCCCCAGATTCGGGATGAGACCAACCCAGCCATCCATGATCCAGCCCAGTTCTCCAGACTTTTGTTGGACGGCCCTGAAGCTCATCACCACTTTTTTCTTCCAGAGGCTTGACCGATGCGAGGTCTGATTGGTGGGAAGGCATGACGTTTGTGGCTCCCGCGGGAGACAGGGGGGTCGGAGGGAGGTGCGGAGTCTAGCGGAGCATCTCCGGGTCCGGATGGTCTCCACTATTTGAGGAACGACAGGGAAGGCGGAGTCTCCGCCCGTTGAAGATTTCTCTTTCTTCATCTTTTTTTGCATCTTGTGTCACGGTACATCTGAAATGCATCATCATCCGATAAATGACAGCCACCATGTGCGGCGGATGCGGAGTCTAAGCACTTTCTTTCCATGTTCCAAGCCGCCGGAGCGCTAATCAAAAGGCTAATGATGAGCAGAAAAATCATATGAAAATTGAGCAAAAAAACAATCCCGCATATCTCCGCTTCTTCAACAACTTTACGGAGTACTGCGCACTTACGGATGCTTCGTATCCACCTTGGCACATCGAACGGGCGGAAGCAATGCGGAGTGAGGGGAAACCTGTCTCCTGCGACCATACGTTGCATACCTCACCGTACCTTGCTGCGTATGGATACTTGATGCGAACCTGTGAGAGTGTGCGAGAGAGAGAGAGAGACGCAGCTACGAAGACTCAGCAATTAGATAACCAAGAAAAGGCGGGGAACAAGCTCATTCTCCCATCGGCATCTCCACAGACAAACGCACTCTCTTTTGAATTCTCACCCCGTCACACCTCACGCGATGCATCCTTTTCTCCCCACGGCCCTTCTACGGACTGATTCCGCCGGCACGACATTCATCCCCCCCCCCCTCCCCCGTCCTCGATAGAAGCAGAAACCCTCGCCCGAAATGAACCACTCAACCCACACACGGCCACGATAACCACGACTCTACTCCCGAGTCCATTTCCCTTCGCACGAATACCCGCTACGCATACTCCCCCCACGCCCATCGCTCTTCTCTCCGCTGCAGGTCATGTCGCCACGCCATTTTTCTGCCCCGGCTACTGATCGCCGCCGTCCCAAGTCCGATGCAGCCCATTCGCCGCGTGGTCAAAATGCGAATCGTTCCCGGCGCGTCCTGACCTCTGCCCATTGACCTCGGATCTCTCCCACATTCGATCCTCACTCAACTTGACATCATCCTCCTCCTCTGCTACTCATCCCTCCTCCTTCTTCCGCCGTCTGTCTGTCCCTCTCTGCAACTCGTCTACTTCCACCTACCTGATTGACGACAACCCGCCCTCATTACAGCGTGGCTTGATACGGTGATACCTATCCAACAGCCCCTCCTTCACCATGGGATCCCTCGTCTGGGACGATGAGAACCGTTGGGTAGGCAAGCAGCCCTGGTGGAAAGACGCAACCTTTTACCAAGTCTACCCCGCCAGCTTCAAGGACTCGGACGGCGACGGCTGGGGCGATCTCCCCGGCCTCATAGCCGAGGTCGACTACCTCCACGAGCTCGGTGTCGACGTCGTCTGGGTCTCCCCCATCTTCGAGAGCCCCCAAGCCGACATGGGCTACGACGTATCCGACTACCAAAAGATCTACGCACCCTACGGCACCGTCGACGACGTCGATACCCTGCTGGACGAGTGCCACAAGCGCGGCATGAAGGTCATTCTCGACCTCGTCGTCAACCACACCTCTGTCGAGCACGCCTGGTTCAAGCAATCACGCTCCTCCAGGGAAAACCCCAAACGCGACTGGTACATCTGGAAGCCCGCGCGATACGACGCCAACGGCGTGCGGCACCCGCCGACAAACTGGCGCGGGTACTTCGCAGGCCCGACGTGGACCTGGGACGAGCACTCCCAGGAGTACTACCTCCATCTGTACGCCCCCGACCAGCCCGACCTGAACTGGGACAACGAGGCCTGCCGCGAGGCCATCTACGAGGACACGATGCGCTTCTGGCTCGAGCGCGGCGTCGACGGCTTCCGCATCGATACCGTGAACAAGTACTCCAAGCGCACAGACTACGTCGACGCCCCCGTCACCGACCCGACGTCGCCGCACCAGCCCGCGCCCGAGATGTGGTGTAATGGACCCCGCATCCACGAGTACATCCGTGAGATGAACCGCAAGGCCCTGGCGCCGTACAATGCCGTCTCCGTCGGCGAGCTATCCCTGACGCCGCACCCGTCACAGGTGATTCCTTACGTCTCAGCTGCGGCGAAGGAGCTGGACATGGTATTTGAGTTCTCCGTGATTCGGCTGGGTAACGGGAACGGGTTCGGCGCAAAGTATATTTACCAGCCGTTTCCGCTGTCGACGTTGAAAAAGTACACGGAGACGTGGCAGTCCTTCATCGAGGGGACGGATGCCTGGGCGACGGCGTTTTGCGAAAACCACGATAATGGGCGCGCGGTGTCGAGGTTTGGTGATGATTCGACGCCCGAGCTGTGGCTTGCTTCAGCCAAGACGATTGCGCTGTGGCAGGCGACCATGTCTGGGACGCTATTTCTGTACCAGGGCCAGGAGATCGGCATGACGAATATGCCGGCCAGTTGGGGGATAGAAGAGTACAAGGATATCGAGAGCAGTAACTTCTACTCGGAGGCGTTGGAGTCTGGGGATGCGGAGCGGATCGAGAAGACGATGCATGGCTTGCGCATCTTGGCGAGGGATCACTCGCGGATACCGTTCCAGTGGGATGATAGCCCCAACGCTGGTTTCGCGAGGGAGGGCGCGAAGCCGTGGATGAGAGTGCATGACGAGTACAAGTCTATCAATGCCGCGAAACAGCGCGGCGACCCGGACTCCATCCTGTGGTTTTATAAGAGGGTGCTGAAGCTGAGGAAGCAACACCGCGATGTGTTCGTCTTTGGATCACATCGGTTGATTGACCCGGAGAACGAGAGGACGTGGGTTATACTCAAGGAGAGTCCTGCGCCGGTGAGTGGAAAGGATGGCGGGGTGAAGAGGAAGGCGCTCGTGGTGATGAACTTTTCGAAAGAGGATGGGGAGAGTGCTGGGGATGTTGCGGCGTTGCTTGGGTGTGAGGCGCCTGAGGTGCGGTTGTTGGTTGGCACGAGGGAGGGTGGGGAGTTGGTGAAGGGGGTTGCGCCGGTGTTGAAGGGGTGGGAGGCGAGGATCTATACCAATTTTTGAGAGTTTATATGTTGAATACCATGATGCTTGGCAGAAGTTGGGTTCAGAAGCGAGGAGGGGCTCTAATGATATCGATGTTCATGCCAATCTAGACTAGTTCCTAGATCTTATGTAGCCAACTTTCTATTGCCTAAAACCTTTTCTCGTTTCAATAAATTCCGACCAAGGTCTGGGAAGTAACAAAGACACTCTTGGCATTTTATAGTAACACTATACCCTTAGTTGGAACCAATAATCGAACGACATCCAGCGCTTACATACAAACAGGAAGCAAAGTAGTTAAAGTAGAACAGCAAACACTGAGCTTACTCCGAAGCGTCCTCTTCATCTGGAGCTTGGAAAACAATGACCCCATGTCCCGCGTCTCCATCATCGAGCGTAACAGACTGGATGTCAGTACTCATTTCTTGAAATTCTCCTGCAGCCGGCAAGCTCGCTTCGCCGTCAACCGACTCCGGGTCTTTAATGCCGCTCTTCTTACGTTTCATAAACTCGCCGTAATGGAGTTGCTTCCTCTTCCCCCATCCCTTCGGCTCAATCTTCAATA